AATCCGCCCCCCCCGCCACAAAAAAAACAAAAAAAAAAACCCCAAAAAATAAAACAAAAAAATACTTTATCCCTCCCTGCACTGGGCTGTGGTTTTGACACCATTACTACCACATGGTACCTTGAGCACTGTGTTGACGTCGACTGCCACCTCTACCCACTCCTGGGAGTCTAGTGCCACCTCCCGAAGGACTTGCTCCTCATGCTCCAGCAGACATTCGCAGATGGTGTCCACCTGGGACACCTGAGGGCAGACAAGAGTCACTGTCACCAGAGTCATGGGGATGATCACTCAGCAGGTTTTACCTAGTAAGCTATATCTTTAGATCACTCAACAGAGGAAAATACATTGACTTAATAGTGAAAGTAAATGTAAAACCAAGAATGTTAGAGTCTTTTCACTTGCCACTGTTATTTTAGGTATTCAAAGGAACCTAGAGATGATTTATAGTACCCAAGAGGATGTGTACAAGGTCTTTGGATCTGGGTATCCATGGAGTGGGAAACCCGGAACAAGCCCCCTGCAGACACTGAGGGATGACTATCTAACATAAAAGCAAAAAGCTTTTTTGCTGTGTCAACACAGCCTACTCTAAATAGCACTGCTATCATGAAGCCTTGGATGGTTTTACACCTCTTTTCAAGGTAGGTCAGCAGCAACGTGTGCCTCCAGAGCCAGGCCTATGTCCTTGTACTTTCCATGAGGGATGCCAAATCAAAACCTCTCTCTATGGCTGATATGGGCTAACTAGCCCTTCTTAAAAAGCTAACTGCCTTCAGAAACCTAAGTTGCTACTCACAGACAGAGAGAGGGAGAAAGAAAGGCTCTAGTAGAGATCTGTTATCGTTCTGGATTACATCACCGGGAGGATGTTGAGCACTTTGACTGAGGGAGCCAAAGACATACTCACCATGAGGTGGACATAATGCCATTCAACACAACTACTTTCACCTGACTGTACTTTGAAAAGCATGTTTTCATTTTGGTTGTAACATATCCTTCAAATACTTTTTATAAATATCTTATTCCAGCCCCTCCCCTATGGTTCAGGGGAGGGGAAAGTGCATATGCCTGTGCTAGATAATTCCAGTTGTCAATTTGACATATCTGAGAAAAGGGAACCTCAACTAGGTAACTTCCTCTATCTTATTGGCCTTTGGGCATATCTGTGAGGCACTTTGATTGTGGAGCGATGTGGGAGGACCCTGTCTACTGTGGGCAGTGCCACCCCGGGACAGGCAGTCCTAGGTTATGTAAGAAAGCAGGCTGGAGGCTGGAAAGATGGCTCAGCAGTTAAGAGCATTGCTGCTCTTGCAGAGGACCTGGGTTCAATTCCCAGCACCAACATGGGAGTTAACAACCATCCTTAACTCCAGTTCCAGGGGACTCTAACACCTTCTTCTGACCTCTGTAGGTACTACACGACAGGGGTACACTTACACATATGCAGGCAATACACTCACACAAAATTAAAATTTTTAATTAAAAAAAAAAGAAAAAAGAAAAAAAGCAGGCTGTTAGGATGAATGTAATGACACAGGCCTTTAATCCCAGCACTTGGGAGGCAGAGGCAGGTAGATCACTATGAGACTGAAGTAAGCCTGGTCTACATAGGAGTTCCAAGGCAGCTAGGCAGTTACAGGGAGACTCTTACTTCAAAAACAAACAAAAAACTTCAAATGAATAAGAAACCTGATGAAGGCAAGGGGATGAAGAGATGGCTCAGCAGTTAAGACCACTGGCTGCTCTTGCAGAAGACCTGGGTTTGATTCACAGGACCCACTTGACAGCTAACAACCATCTGTAACTCCAGTTCCAGACAAATCCAACACCCTCTTCTGACTCCACAAGCACTGCATGACAATGCATGCACTTGTACACATGCAGGCAATACATGCATACATATAAAATAAAAATAAGAAAATATTTTTTAAATTTTTATTTATTTTTATTTTATGTGTTCGAGTGTATTGCATGTAAGTGCACCCGTAATGCAGTGCCCATAGAGGACAGAAGAGGGCTTCCAATCCCCTGGAACTGGAGTTACAGACAGTTGTTAGCCACAATGTGGGTGCTGGGGTTCGAACCTGGGTCTTCTGCTCTTAACTGTTGAACCATCTCCCCAGCCCCAGTGCTACCATCTTGAAGGCTTCTTGGCTTAAAAAAAGTCTGCTTTGCGCTGTTAGGGAGTGCTCGGGAAATGTTTCACAGGATCATGTGGGATTGGAAAGAGTCCACATGGATTGTGAGGAGGAAGTAGAGATGCTTGACCTTGACCAGAGTGACTTAGAACATGAAGGTACCTTTGCTGGGTAAAGGGCAGGCATATGTAATGTTTGCCCAAGGCAACACTTGGGCCATAGATGGATGCAGTGCGTATGGAAGAGACACCTGTCTTCCAGGTCTGGACATGACCTCTTGGAGGGAGGCTAGGCCACTTACCCACAGGCTTCCCACCTCCACAGGTTTGATCCAAAGAAAGGATTCTGGTGCCAACTGCTTGAAGGAGGGAAAACCAAGTGTCTGGGCAAAAGCAAGGGACGGAAATACCCAGAAATGGACTTGGATGTAAGTAGGTGACACATTGCTCACGACAGTGGGTGAGTGGGAGGGGTCTTGCTGGGGGGAAGTCTTTGGTTCCTTTCACCCCTCCAGCACAGTAGTGGTCTTAGCATCCCTTCCACAGTAGTCATTCTCTAGAGGAGGAAATCTGGGCTGGGCCATGGTGGGTAGCATTGCTTTTAGTCAAGCAAGTGTCCCTTACCTTCTTCCAAGGGTTGCACGGTGGGTACCAAGGATGAAGCAGATGCTGGGCATGGCTTCCCAGGACTCCTAGTCCAGGGGGAGGTGAGCCACATGCCAGGGAGCAGAGTCCCAGGCAGGGGGTGCCTAAACATGCATGGGGCATTCTGAGTAAGGAATGTGGTTAGGAGCTAGAATGGTAGAGTTAGGGACCATGCCTCAGGATGGGACCATGGAATGGAGAGAGGCCACTCTTGCAGGGGAAAACATAGTTTGCACACACCTACCAGGAAGGTCACAGGCTGCATCTTGCTGTTTCTATCTTCAGCTGTTATGTGTTTGCTTTGGTGAATGCTTTCCTCTCCCTGTCACAAGAGTCTTGACCTTGTACACTATATTTTGGTGTTTCTTCTACATGGGAGTTTTCCCTAGAGGCTCCTGTTTAGAAGAGGACTGGGGATAAGTCAGTCCTGTGTAGCCTGGTGCCACACAGTGTTGCATCATGGAGGGGTCATGCATCAGCACATCACCCCGACCTGAGTTTTCTTCCCATTGCAGTCCCGAGCCTTCCTGAAGGATTACTTCCGGGACCACAATATTGAGCTTTCTAAGCTGCTGTACAAGATGGGCCAGACGCTGCCCACCTGGCTGCGGGAGGACCTCCAGAACACCAGGTAGCCTCAGCCACCACAGCCAGACAGAACGCTTGTGATGGCAGGCGTGTCCTGCCTCACACTGAGCCAGACTGACCTGCCGAGAAGAATGCTGGGCCAGGCCAGCCAAGTGCGACGAGCAATACTCTGCTGAGGCCCATCGGGGTCAGAAGCCCAGTCAGGTCTGCAGGCGCCTCAGAGGATCCATGCTGGATCTGTGGCCTACAGGACCTCACACGTACCGGAGGTCCATTCCGTTCACAGCCTCCGTGCCTGGGGAGACCACTTCCTGTTGGTGGAAGGCCACTTCCTGGTAGGAGGAGTCTGGGAGACTTTCTCCTGTCCCTCACTGTGTTCTACCACCCCGTCCCTTCCCTTTATCCCACAACTCCCCGCTCCAGCAGGGTGTCCCCTCAGTATTAGCTGCCACATTTCCCTGTCTCCAGACAGTAAGGGAGAAGAACTCTGCTGGGCCTTTTGCCAAACCACAAGAAAGACTGGACATGTCCCTGAGGGTTTGGAGCCAGGCTCTGTCAGGGGGTCAGCTGGGCCGCCAGACACAGTTGCTGGGTCATATGTGAGGTTGGCCACCTCAAGAGGACATGAAACCTCATTTGGGGTTGTAGTGTCACATCTTATCTCCCTTTTAGGGGAAAGACTCTCTAGTTCCTGCAGTATCCACCCAATACTCACAGCCTCCTGCAGGCCCTGGGCCACAGCCAGGCTACTGGGCCAGAGACTCGGACCTTGGCCCTGCCCTGTTCTTCACCCTGGATGTGACATGTGGTATTTCCTGTGGTAAAGGCTGAAGCGGGTCAGGAGTCCGCCAGTGTTCATGCTCCCGTGTACATACATCCTCCCATAGCCACTGCCTGGGCCCAGCAGACATGGTAGAGTCAGCAAGACTGCGATCTGCTGCTTTGCCCAGATCCTGTGGCTGAGGGTCCCCAGAGACCCCCTTAACCTCCTAAATACTAAGAAGCTAAAGTATTTTAATATTTTTTTTTCTTGGTGCCAGAGTTTATACCCTGGGTGCTGGGGTCGCACTGTGTTTTATATAT